AAAAAAAAGGAAGGGGGGGGGGGGGATGGTGGTGGTGGAGGAAGAGGTAGATACAATAACATAGAAGGATTTACTCATAAATGGAGTCAAAAAGAAAATTAGAAGGAGGGTAAGCAAATCATCAATGAGAACAAGTTTAGTGCACTAGAAGACACTAAAGAAGCAGAGGATGTGCAAATCACCCAGAAGGAGGGCAATGGTGAAGAAGAGATGCAGAAGAAACTTCAAAGAAAAGGGTGGAAGAGGTTGTTGGGAAGCAACAACAATCAAAAAGTAAGGAAATTGATAGGGTGGAAAAAATAGGGGTTTTTGCAAAAGAAAATAACGAAACAAAGTCTACACCCGGAAGAATGATCAGCAACGAGATAGTGAGTAACTCCAAAAGTGATTCAAATGCAAAAATAATGGCTGGGTTGTCAAAAGGAAATCATTATTTCTGCAGTTTATGCGAGATGTAGCTCATAGGAGAGGTTAGAAATATGGGAGGATCTCGAAGTTATGGCAGAAGATATGAGTTTTTCATGGGTTGTTGGTGGAGACTTTAGTGTGACACTCAATGAAAAGGAGAATTGGGGAGGACTATCAATAACTCATCATGAGACACTGGATTTTTCTCAATGTATAAGTTCTTGTAATATGATAGAGATCAAATTCACAGGTAGTCTTTATACATGGTGGAATAGGAGAATAGAGGGGGAGAGTATTTTCAAAAGATTGGATAGGGTACTCAGGAATTCATGCAAGCTTTCCCATCTTGTGATGTACACCATTTGATAAGGCAAGGGTCAGATCATGCTCCATTACATGTGATTTGTAAAAGTGACCAGGAAGAGGTGATAGTGAAGTCGTTTAGGTTCTTGAGTTTTTAGACAAATTGTAAAAAATTTAAGGGTCTTATAACACAACATTGGGAAGTAAATATAGATGGAAGCCTGTTCTATGTATTTCATCAAAAGATGAAAAATGTGAAAAGGGTTTCATCGAGATGGAGTAGGGAACCGTATGAAAATATTTTTATGAGAATTTCTACAATGGAGGATATTGTTAAGGTAAAGGAAACTCAGGTGGAAGTGAACCCATCAAAAGCCAACATGAAATATTTAGCAAGGGTTGAAGAAGCAATCAAGAGATACCACTAGATAGAAGAAGAGTATTGGAAACAGAAGGCGGGGATGCAATGGTTCAAAGAAGGAAATACAAATAAAAAGTTTTTTTCATTCATATCTCAAGGGAAAATTTAGATAGAACGAGGAGCTATAATACAAACTACTCAGAACATTGGAGATGAAGTGGTTAATGTCTTCAAGGAACAGTTCAAGGAAGGGTTCAGGACTGAGGACTAATCTATGCTCAGTGTTATTCCTAGATTAATAACCAATGAGAAGAATGAAGACATGACAAGGGCTCCAACAAAGAAGGAAGTTAAAACTGCAGTTTTAGCTTAAAGAAGGATAGTGCAAGTGGCCCAGATGGTTTCTCAAGAGCTTTTTTCCAATCATGTTGGGAGATTATTGAAGAGGACATGTGGAGGATGGTGATGGAATTTTCTTTGGAGGTGAAATTCCTAAATATATATATCACACTAATGTAGTGCTTATTCCTAAAAAGAGAAGGTAACTAGATTCTCAGATTTAAGGCCAATTAGTCGTAGTTCCTTTGCAAATAAGATTCTATCAAAAGTACTGCATGGACGGATTTCACAGATACTGCCTTTCATAATCTCAAATAACCAATCACGATTCATGAAAGATAGGAGCATAACTGAAAATGTTTTGCCAGCCCAACTTATTATTAAAGACATTAAAAAGTAAAGTCCAAATCACAATGTCGTGGTAAAATTTGATTTGACAGAGGCCTATGATAGAGTTTCATGGATCTTTTTGACTAAAGTGATGAGAAGTTTTGGTTTTGATGAAAGTATCATTGATATGGCGTGGAGACTAATTTCTAATAATTGGTACTCTATACTAGTCAATGGATAGTCTTTTGGTTTCTTTGAATCATCAAGGGGGGTGAAACAGGGAGATCCACTGTCACCTACTCTCTTTATCATAGCGAGAGAATTCTTGACTAGAGGTCTCAATAAGCTGAATGAGGATTTGGGTTTAGAGGGTTTGGAATTTCCAAATGGAGCAAAAAAATTAATCATTTATCATATGCAAATGATACAATACTATTTTGCTCTGGACATAAGGTTCCATAAGGAAAATGATAAAGGTTTTAAGGAGATATGAGTTTTTTCGGGGCAGCTTATCAATTTATCAAAAAGTTATATATACTTGCATTAAAAAGTTCCTACTGCAGTTTTTCACAGGATTAAAAGAATAGCACAAGGTACTTTCCATTTCACTTACTTGAGATGTCCGATATTTTATGGGAGGAAGACAAAAGCTCATTTTGAAGAGCTATTTAAAAAGGTAGCAAAAAGGGTGCTGGGATGGCGGAACATGTTATAAACATATGGTGGAAGGTATGTTCTAATTTCGCATGTTTTAAATTAATGCTTGTATAGCTTATGTCGGTCATGAATCCACCAAAAGGAGTAATAGATCAAGTTCATAAGATTCTTGCAAAAATTTTTTGGGGACACATAA